TTTAATTTAATTGAGTTTCCCGAGAAAACCGGGGATGTTGGTACCTAAAATTCTGGGAAATATTGAAAGTATGCAGTTGGAGTGACTCGGTGACTTCAAGATTCGCTTCCAACTATTACGTTACTTCTCATTATTTACCTTTTTAACTCTCCATATTCTGCCACGACACTCCCTACCAACTTCGATTTCTCAATGTTTGACCTAATTTATTTATTGTTGTAATTATACAATCGAAATCAGTAATCAACAAGGACTTTGCCGTAAAAATAAAATAAAAAATCAACAAGGACTTTTACTCGCCGTCGCCGATTTCAAAATCGTATTGGCTGTCCCAGAGCTTGAGCTTTCTCTGGTATTACCTAAAAGACACTTACAAACAAGAATACAACCGATCCAAAAAACCAAAGCCAAATCACTATAAAATTTGGTTCATTTATCTTGCGCGTGATTACCATATATGTTGGATTAGTTATATCCATTTGAATTTACTGAGCTATGAAATTGTGCGATAAATTATAAATTACTATAAAATTTTATTTCAAAACTAATTAATAATTAACGAATAAGTGTATATGCTCTTGTATATATATTAATGTTGAATCATTTTCTAACATATCTTTTAGAAATGGTAAAATAATTTAGTTGTTCATGTTTTAGATAGTAATTTCATCTTTTGCGTTTTAAAAAAGTAATTTATTTTACTTTGCAGTTTATCACTCAAAACATAATAATAAGTTTTTACATTTTTCCTTTTTTTAAATAGTGATTCCTTTATATATTATAAACATGTTGAAAATATAATAGAACATCAATTATTTATTAATGTTTGAACGATTCTGCAAGTGTTTATGGCTTTATGCTATTGGATCAGTTATTTTCGCAACAATCAAGCCTACTCAAATAATTTTTGTCATCAAGATCTTTTTTTTGGCTGCAATCTAGATGTTAGTATATTTCTCTTTATAGCTATTAGTTAGTACTGGTTAACAATATGAGCGAAAAATAATTAATCAAGAGATGAAGCTAACTTTCATAAACAGCTTAATTAGCTGTCTCATTGATAAACAAAAAAAAAAAAGAGAGCCTGATCTACTATATATTACGTGTGTCTTTTATATAGAAAACAAAGTACGAGATTGGGTCAAGTAGTGAATGATTGAATTTTATATATTCTATTCAATAGCTAGGCTTTCAACACTATACACACCCTCATTCTATACACATATCCTGTATATACAAATTGTACATCTGTAACTATGCAAATAGATTTGTAGGGCTGGATGTCCATAGCTGAAAAGCATCCAATAACTCTATATAATAATTTAATTATTTATATATTAGTGTGTGTATATGTATACTTATATATAAGCGATCACTGATTGGAAAAATAATAATATAGGAGCGAGTCTTTGCATGCAGTCCATTCTTCCACACCATCCTTTGGGAGAAAGCTTTTAAATCCTTCTCTAGATACTACATATGTAAATTGAAAGTATAAAGAGACTAATTTGTTTTAATCAAGGTTAATATACAGCACAGAAACACATGACCACATACATTCATCTTAATTCCATTTACAGTATGATATGATCCTTTTAAGGGGTTTTCAAGTTTGAATATTATGTTTATTTTGATATATTATTAAGAAAATATAAGAACACTATGCTTACTTTTACATTTCGAAGATCAAAATAGAATAAAGGTTTTGTGTATTTATTTAATTTGTAAATTGTTGTGTTTCTTTTTATGTGTTTAGATTTGTTACTTGAATATATGACTTGAAAACCCAAGTTCATGGGTCTAAATTTGGATAGTTACATCGATATTACATCAAAATTGCATGATACAACTGGTATCTGGTTCCGATGGATTTAGATTAAGATGATTGAAATTGCATAATACAACTGGGATCAACTCCAAAATGTGATATGTGGCAAGACATTTGAACAATTTTTAGCAAAATAAAGGACATTTGAACCATTTTCGGATCTATTTTTCTCATGAACTTTCATTTGACTTAAAAATATCATTCGCCATTTAATTCAGATATCTTACTTGATCTGCCCTAAAATGAGAATGTACGGGATCTTTTGTTGTTTGACTTAAAACGTATGGGATCTTTATAATGAGGGAGTGCAACTAAGGCCTACATCAATTTGTTGGGCTTGTATGATGTAAAGAAGTTCTTATGTAAATGAGCCTTTTATGTTTTCCAAGTCCAACCGGATTACAGTTTTCCATTTTCTTCCATTGGCTAATCACATATGGAGGACGAATATTCAGTTTTTTTTTTCCAATGCATTATACAAAACAAACGGATAAGACTGGATAAGCCGAAAAAATGTGACTAGTCATGTGAAATGAGTAAAACAAGCAATGCAGCAGATAGAACAAAATTTGAATGACAATGATAACAAACACGGCCTATAATAATAATTTGATTAACTGTTTTGTTTATAAAGTTATAACGCTTCTATTGACTAAACTATCCAACAAGAGCATTCTTCATGTACATGTTAATTAATTGCTCTAAAGGCTAAAGCTGTCGCAAAAGGCATCCAACGTCTAATCGCTTTTCCCGCAAGCACAAACGAACTTATTTTTTTTTGGTTTTGGAAGTTTTTAGGCACTATATTAATGTCCTAAATAACTTCGTCTGTATCGTTTTCTGATACGTATTTATTTACTTTCCAGAAAACGTCTCCCAACGATCTCAAGGAGCCACTGCAAGAAGACGACACAGAACCTCGCATGAACGATAACTCTTGGCAATGTGAAATTTTCTTAATGGATAAGTTTTCTTTGAAAAAGTAGATAATATATGCAGACATGCAGACAAAAACAAATGAGAAAGAATCCACAAGTCTAAAGAGTTCATGCAAACAAACTTTACCAGATATACTTCAATTATACTTTTTTTAGAAATCATCAATAATTTTACCATGAATTATTAATTATTATTTAAAGTTTATTATATGTCCTAAAGATGTTTGATAACATGTCTAATTCAATCTTAAAGGGAGCTGCCTTCCTTAACCAATGAGAATTAGTATTAGATTATTAGTAAAAGGATTCGCTCATGAGAATGGATTAAACTTGTTATTATGTTCCATATTCTAATTAAGATGATGTTTAAATGTTTTTTTGCATCATAAATCACTGTGCCTTCTATCTTGATTAATTATCTTACTCACGAACCATTGTTTCTCTTTAATATTGCTGATCTGGTCTACTTACCTATTTCAGTCCTATTACTTGTTTCTTTGTTGGTTAGTTTTTTTAATTGTTTATGGATATTGTCTGCTCTACTTGTGTTTTCAATCATTTACATTTAAGTAAACCCATAATTTTTTTTTTTTTTTTTGTCTTAGCATAAATTGTTTTTGTTTTTGATAATTAGGGTAAAGGGTGATTCAGACATTTAAGTTTTTAACACCTAAATAATCTTTTCAAAGTGAGTGTACTGTGTAGCCGTTGAGTAGCTCTCACTGACTTTTCTAATGGGCTTTCACTCACCGAAAATTTTAATGGATCTAAAGTATAACACCATTTTCAACTGATCAAATAAAAATGATTTAAATAATTTCACACTTGAAAAAAAAATGATCTCTAGCCTAGATCAACCCTAGCATAAATTGTTTCTTGCATATTTAGTATATTATTGATATTTTTTTGTAGTCACTAATCCATGCATTTGCTGTTATTTAATTTGGATTTGAAACTCGGGCTATCATAAACCAGGATTTAGTTCGTGTTTCCTCGTTGTTAATTCAGGAGTTCCCATGGAATTGAAAGTTATGTTGAGATCACAAAAAAAAAAATGTGAGGCTTAGTTTGCAGAGAATACATGGGACGACCAGGCCGAAATGTGTATGAGACATTAATGACGTATTGACTGATTTTAAGACTCTACGATCCAGACTTTGTGTATGAATCGAGGGGCAGCAATATATAAACGTATATCTTTATAAATTTGTTTATAAGCACTTATGTACGTTAGCTGCTGAGAGTCTCAGACACTTAACATCATAACATGTTTGCTTCACTTTAGTTAAAATCCTTTTTTTTTTTTTTGAAATGCTTTTGTTGAAACAAACAAGCATATATACGTAGTCGGGGTTGCTTTTTTTTTATTATAAAAAAAATGTTTAATATTTCCCAAGTTCAAAGTCGTCCAGAACGAAAAGGAAAGTTGAATCACCTCACATTATCCAGAACAAATATTTTATAGGCCGTCGTCCAAGTCATGAAATCTTATCATATGATATACTGATATACACATCTCCACTAAATTACCCACACCAAAACTGATCAGAAATAAAAATCCATATATAGACTAATTCCATTTAGAAAATAATCAAAAATTGATTAGCTGGAGAGCGACGTGATCACAACATGGGATGAGCATATGCAAGTGAACCATGACCAACTTGTTTAAATATAATTAAAATTATATCTACGATATTATCAATTTATCATTGTATAACTGTGTTGACCTACTATGGTAAGACAAGACCACATCAAGCTTTAAAATAAAATAAAAATAAAATAAAATTAAGACCTATCTCGTATTTGATTTTAATCATTTACGAATATATGTGGCATTCCGCACTCGGTTCCACAAATCTTAAAGTTTAATACCAAAATATCCGTATATGAAAAAACCTCAAATGTGTAAGTAAGACTCAATCAAAGTTGGGGATATCATCAAGTTACTCATAAAAAAAAAATACTTAAACCATCATAATACAAATTAACAATTTAATGTAAAAAGTATACCGTCTATTATATAAATGGTATAGAAAACATAAATACAGGAGTGACACAAAGTAAAAATGGCGTTACACTGAATAACCAAATATGGTGCATACTATTACTGTCTTTGTTTGTTCGTTTCAAAATTTCTTATTGCACTACTTTTTTTTACGTTACCAAACAGAAATTACATTTTCTATAATCACTTGCACTACGTTGATATAAAATAATCAATCAGTAGTAGTGCCTCTAGTACGATCTCAAAAGTCAACCATCTTGTAGTCATCAAGCAAAGCGTCCTCTTAATTATTGTATCAGTACCACACGTTCTTATCATACCATCTCCGACTATGATCTTCCCATCACTTTTGTTTGTTTTCTTTTGAAGCCAAAAAATGACAAAAAGAAAAAAGACAAGGCTTTTGTTTTTATAATAAAAAAAAAACTCACTCCCCGGGAAACCATAACGGCGAAGTATAGGTCCTCATGAAACTCGAAGGTTGAATTACTTATCTCGAACGTCATATCGTTAAACCATTTGGCACAATCGATGGTGGTCATATCACGATTAAGCTTCTACTCTTCTTTCTTGTTACTGCTACGGCTCGTCGCCGCTCAAAACAGCCCTTCTGAAGATGAACGGTCAGGGTTCTCTTCAACCACGGGTATAGTCATGATCGTGCTGGTCAGCGTTTTCTTCGCACTTGGATGTGTCTCCGTCTACATGCGAAGGTGTCTCGAGCAAACTCTAGGGTTCAACGATGATCGACCTGGTGACCCGGGAAACTGGAATAACGTGAGACAGACGGCGCGTGGGCTCGACGAGTCTGTCATAGAAACGTTCCCCACGTTTCGTTACTCCACCGTGAAGACGTTGAGAATCGGCAAAGAAGCGTTGGAGTGCCCCGTTTGCCTCAATGAGTTCGAGGACGACGAAACGCTTCGTTTGATTCCTCAATGTTGCCACGTGTTCCATCCTGGTTGCATAGATGCCTGGCTACGTTCTCAAGCCACGTGTCCTCTCTGCCGCGCCGATCTGGTGCCTGTACCGGGTGAGTCTGTTTCTTTCGAGGTACCCGGCTTAGCCAGAGAAACCGGTCATAACTCTCCCCGGACGCCGATTGATGATAGCCGGAGAAGCATTTTGAGTTCTCCGGACGAGCGGATGATTGACTCAGTGGCTTGGACAGGTAACCAGAGCATGCCTCGTAAATCCATGTCTACCGGGTGGAAATTAGCCGGATTGTTCAGCCGGTCAAGTTCGACCGGTCAACCAGGGGAAAATCTAGACCGGTTCACGCTAAGATTACCCCAAGAGATTCACGATCAGCTGGTGAGCCAAGGGTCAAAAGGCCATGTGGCGTTACCTCAAGAGAGGAGCTCGATACAAGGGTACAGAACTGGAAGCCTAGGGACAGAAAGAAACTATTTCTACTTTGAACGGTTTGATCAAGACGGTCGGTTCGACCGAAGACCGTTCTCTATGACTCCTCCATACCGGACCGGTTCCATCCAGTCTCCTGTTATCGACGGCAACGGTAATTACCAGGAGCGTGCTGGTCCCGCTAAAGGTTTGCTTCTAGCAATCAGGTCACCGTTTAATCGGTTATTCACTGGAAAGAACAATGTCGGTGAACGTTCGTACCTTCGATCCGGCGATGCGAGTCCTGTCTAGGCGGAAGTAATGAAATTGGGTTTCTTGAGAAATTTGAGAGAAAAAAAAATCTGTACATACTTTCTTCTAATATTTTTTTGCTAATCAAGAAAATAAGTACATTCCACTACTGAAATGAAAGAAATGTTTTTATTTGATCTTAAGTCTTCAGCTCAACTGTAATGGTGTGAAAAGAGATTCATGAACCAGAACCACCATGACGGAAATAGAGAACGGATCGGTAGAGAGCAGCAACATGGAGGAAACAAATCAAGGCTATGAGCAGATCATCTAAAAGACCGATAATCCCCAAGAATCCTGACAAGTAATGGATACAAAGTATTTGTAAGTAACGTAGTTGATCGAAGAAAAGAGTGTGTTACATGATTATAGTCAAGGGATGAAAACGAGGGATCACCTTCTGGAATGATATCGATTGGGCTGATTATGTAGATTGCACTGAGTATCAACTGCATCAGATCAAATGTAGTGAATTTGCGTTAGTCACAGTATCTTTTAGTTTAGATGTGATCAAGTGAACGTTTTTTTTTCAGCACAAGATTTAGTTGAAAGCAAGATAAGCAGATTCACAAGAAATGAATGTGTTTCAATTCAACTAACCGCAATGTAAACACGAGCTCTGATGACGAGTGGAAGCGTTCTTCGTGGATCCAACATTTCTCGCAACAGCCTTCGGAGTAAGAAAGGAAGGTCTCGCATCCTCTGCAAAACAAATCGAAGTTTCTTGTGAGACGGTTCCAGTAAAAAAAATCTAGATTTCACAATGAAACAAAGGTTATGAAAGTGAAAACCATTCATCCCCTGACTTGCTAGCACAGTGAAAAACAATGAGAACAGCAATAAACTACCAAAAGTTTAAAGCAAAAAAATAGCTTAGACATGTAAACAGAAACCATAGCATAGGAGTAAATCCTTCAAAGTGCAAATTTTCTTTTACAGGTCAAAACAACAAAAGCCATACTTGTCTCATACACTCATCCTCAACAAGTATTCTATGCTCAATCTGCTTAACATCCTAGAGACTGTGGAGAAATACGAAACACTTACCTGAACCAGACCACTTGACTGTCCACCAAAGACTCGGTTGTAAGTTTCAACATCGCGAAGAACCTCGGAAACTGCCGTGTCACTCGGGCCTCTCAACGTTTCCTCTGAAGGAACCAGCAAGCTAATTGGACGACGACACAGAGGACATTTGCATGGGCGTAATGTAGATCCATGCCTCCAAACAAGCATGATGCAGTTCCCTGCAATGATTGAAAAGCGTTAAGGATCTCACAAGCTGCAGTGAAAATCATACTGAAACTGGATTATATGAACATGTAGAGCATATATACAGAATCCTAGTAATACTAGCTAGCATTAGCAAACTCAGAACAGTACACACAAAAAAAAAGGATCTGTTCTAGTACCTAAGCACAGCCACAAGAACGAGACCTTGAAGCTTTCTCTTAACTCAAAACCAAATTCTAAGGAGCAAAGAGTTCGGAAAAGTAAGGCCGTCGCAACTCGATTCCATAAATTGAGATGCTACACTCGATTCCTGGGATAAACTACTGAAACTACGACCGATTCGAGACAAGGATGAAAAGGAAAAATGCGAAGAGAGCAAATCGAATATAAAGAGATCGCACCGCAGAACCAGTGGGAGCAATTAGCTTGGCAAGGAGCACTGAAATGGCCATGGCATATCGAACAAACTTCGTTCTCCGGAGGCTGATTCATGCTTCTTCCTCCTCCTCTGCTTATTTACTCTCTCTCGTCGTCCTCCTTCTTCCGTCTCACTCTCTATAATATATTCAGAATTTTTCCGTAGCAGTTAAGTAGTACGAGAATGAATATATCGGTTAACACGCGGCGAACGATTAAGCTATATCGGATAAAGAGATTTAATCCGAGCCGTTCAGACTCGTCATCAAGATGCGCTCGTTAACGCGTTGGGCCTGCGAGATCTTAAGTAAAGACGCGGCGCTGCGAGAGACGTTGATTGGTTATAGACTTATAGTCAGTCATAGACTTTGTTTTGCTATACACAACAATAGCAAGTTAGCTAAAAATAAAATATGGAATAGATTGCTAAAACTTTTCGATTGGTCAGTAAAGCTATAAAGGAAATCGTTAACTATTTTCACGTAAGTCGATATGCAAATACTGTAGATTATAATTTGTTTCGGTTTATTTGGTTGACAAGTAGCCTGAATAAAGGAAATGTCGAGGCAAAGAAATCAAATTGGAGGAATTATTGATCTGCGTAAGATTTTTCCAAAAACCAAGTAAGAAATGAGTGGGTCAATAACATTTTTGACATCAGTGTGTGTGCAAAACCACTGAAAAAAGCTAAGGTTTAACAATGGCATATATATTTCAAAAGCCATGTCCTGCAAAAAGATCAAACAAACACTTTCATAGCAATATAACACAGCTCTTGTATTAAACACCCATTAATGTTTGGGTTTATCCTCAAGCTTCCTCAACGTCTTTACTCTTCCGCTGCCTGGAATCAATCAACAAGATCAAAAAAACACTCAACTAGTTGATTATACTTTGTAAGGATTAGTCACTTTTACTTGATGGCACACTTATTATTACAAATTGGGTACACATTGACAGAGAAAAATATTAAACTCTTCTGGTTCTCATGATACTCTACTATTGTTCTTCATTTCTACAGAAATAAAGCCAGTTTCGATCCTCTCTCAATGTGTACGCAGATTACATTCAATTACTATGACTGGATTTGTCACGTTTACTTAATGACAAACTTACTATTACAAATTGCGTACACATTGACAAAAGATTCAAACTGTTTTCACCTCTAAACAAAACCTAGTAACAATGATAAAGGTGAAGTAAGGTACTGAATAAACAAACCCTAAATTATTCTGGTTCGCATGATACTTAGCTATAGTTCTTCATTTCTCGAAAAAAAATAAGACAGTTTCGATCCTTGATTCCTATCAAAAACCTATTACTAATCTCACGAATCTGTAACCACATGTAAATGAAGGCAGGCATGTGTTCAAATCATATATATCTTCAAGCAACTATGGTCTATGGAAACCCTCTAATTTCAGCAACATTTCTCACTTATAGCAAGATGATCAAAGAAACTACGAGTATTGGGATTCCCACAATTAAAGGCATGACGTGAAGAATAAGGGAAAATGCGACTAACCTGAGATACAGAAGTCTCTGTACTCTTGGGAGCTAATAAAGTGGCTGATGTTGAAGACGATGATGCATCAAAGACACGAGAGCAATCTGTGTATGCAGAGCCAATACCGATTCCAGCACCAAAAGCAATCGAAGCCCATCTCGTAACAGGACTCCCTAAAGGAAACACAGGAAATTGATTATCAAACCAGAAACCTTTCAAAAAGGCTAGTGATTCTAAGATGGATCTTAGACTAGATTTAAGCTTTTTCTCGAATAGGAACAACACACTCAAAAAAGCTTATTCGATTGTGATATTTCGATTCATTCGCTAGAAACCTAATTTGTAATCCTCATTGTGTAAATGTGAATGCAATTGCAAAATCATAAGAAGAGAGTGGGGATATTGAAAACACCGAACTGAAGAAGAGAAGACCGGCGAACGCGCCGCCGAGGGAAGAGTAGACGACGCGACGAGCAGTGAGATCGAGACAGGCGTCCCATTTGGCGTTGACGTCGGCCTCGGTGCTACTCTTCTTTTCCATTTTGCGACTCGATTCTACTTTTCCGATTTGATTTCTCAGAAATTTTCTTCTTCTGTTTTTCCACAATTCGCTTCTCGCAAATTTTCCTATCTCAAGGGTGGTGTTTCATGTTTTTTTGTGTCCAAGCAAAGAGTCTTGGGCCGAATTATGAATTCATGATGAAACATATTGGGCCGCATAAATTTACATATCACTCCTTTTTGTGCTAAAAGGCTTTATATCACTCTTTTTTTTTTGTCGCCAGTTTTTTTTTCTTGACATGCATATCGCTTTTTCATGCAAGTGCATTTCAATATGACCATTAAAAAATGGAATTGTTTGAACAAAAATAAAAAAAAGGAATTTAATAGTACGAAAAAAATTGGATGAAGTATTGAATGATACTTTGTTATTGTGAATTGAATTAGAGAGAAACATAATTAATGTGTAGCGTTTTTTCTCTCGTGGTACCAAAATAAGTTTTTTTTTTATATAATTTAAAGTAAAGATTTTTATCTGTGTGGCCAAATGAAAATTGTTTAACAATTTCACGTTTGAGGGAAATTGATCGCTGGCCTAAACTAATAGGATAACTCCTCTTCAAGTAGAAATCAATAGACTACCACCACTTGGTTTGCTTTAAACCAAGTTTGTACTTTGTTTTTGTTTTTTTGGAACCGAAGTATACTTCGTTGTTGTGTTGGTCCATGCATGTCCCCTGACTACGCACCAGATATTATTATGGTCAGTCAAGTTCTTAACATTCTTTTACACCCAAATTGTATACATATATATATGTAATCATTATTACAAGCCTTTTGCAACTTTAGGCAGGCTTTTTTAATTGGATACCGTTTGTTTGTTGGGTCAGCTTTCAATTTCTTGGTGGAAGAAAAATTAGGTGGAGTGGTTAAGTACTTAATTTCACCACAAAATTCTACACTCTTTATTTGTTGGAATTTCACCACAGAGGATATTCATACGTTATAATATACATTCAAAGTATGAAACGCTTAATCTATAATTAAATCGTATTCCAAAGTATCGTATATCCTTATAAAGTCTTAAACCGAACGTTGAAGCGATGAAGATTCCTCGGTTTTTATCGAAACATTTCATTCATACACATATTAACTACTGCCGAAACCTTCTACCATCGGATTAATATCGACCCGCCTTGACTCAACTAAGATTGGTTACACTTTACGGCTTTACCTCAAATCTTGTGTGGATAATGAAATTTATTTATTTGAGGAGCCAAATAACTGATTGGATACAAGAGCGGTGGAGACATTGCCAAATAAATGGAGACCTTTTCCTCTTTTTATGTCGGCAATGAAGCAGAGCCAGTTTTTATAAATGTCAAGACCCAAGGGAATACAATACTAAATGAATAATTCAATTGATTTAGGGAAGGAATAATCAAAATCATAAGTTGGAAGCACTTTACATAACATAATTATCTGATTCGAATTGATTTTTTGAGTTCGAAGAAAACAAATATAAGTTCAGAGTAACACAACTATTTTTTGAGTGGTAATCACATCTCGGCACACAAAACAGTTGTATATATAAGAATCATCAACAAAAAAAATCCCATCACCAAAACAAATCAAAACCATCGTACAAAACACAAACCCCTTTTTAAAGGTTTATTAGAAAAATACATAAATCAAATAAAAAATGCTAAATTAAATTAATAAAACTCTCCCCCTCTCCAAATAACAAAATAGCCATTTTTCCTTTTGTCTTCATTCAAAGATCGGGCACATAGTCTTATGCTTGGGTTTTAGACCTGTAGATCACCTTCTTCTTCTTAAAGGTTTGGTTATCAATTGTAATCACAACCTTTCCCGGTTCACCCGCCTTGAAAGAATCGGTTATCACAGGTTCATCAGTTAAACCGATTTTCCGGTTCTTAGAGACTATCACGGTGTAGCTTGCCTCGTTGGTTGGCTCAAACTGAGCTCCATAGCTCACGTCCGCGCCCAAAACCCTAAGCTCCCATGAGAGCGTGCAACCCTAATTATACCAACACAATCCTCATGGTTAATCATCATGGGAAAGTGCTCTAGCAAGAATATACCAATTTATCCAAATAGAATGTTATCTTTTGAGTTTTGCAAACGCCAATTTCAGTCGTTTACGTTAGCATGCAAATAAGTATCACGTAAACAAACAACCGAGATCATATATATACCTCGGAAGCAGGCAATTCAATGGTATGCTTCGATGAAGATTTAACGACGGCTTCGGTGACTCCATCTTCAACGGTGAACGGACTTTCTTTGCTTAGTCCACCGTATTTAACCGGGACTACTTCAGGAGCTACATATCTGTTTCATCCAAAAACAGAGGATATAGGCATTTATGTGTGTGAAGAGAAACATTAAATTAAATATTTCATACGAAACATAATTTACTTGAAAATGGTTTCAGCGGATTTGGATGGACCAGCAAGGACCATTTTGCTCCTTGTCCTTGGCGATGTAATGATACTCCCGAATGTTTTGTAGTAAGGAATGTACCACCATGGAACATTAATGAACAGCTGAAACATACCCAAAAAATCGCATAAGGATTAAAACTTCAAAGTTTGTAATTTTAATTGTAATCATACTAAAAAAATTTGATTTCTTTACCTCTTTGGAGACGAATTCTGGATAATTGTCTTCGAACTGCTTAACAGCACGTCTGATAAACTGCCACAATGTTCTCTTACCGAGTCCAGGAGCGTTCCTGAAGTCGCTAACAAACACGAACGACGATTTAGCCTCGGGGCTAAAGTCGAGAGACCTCACACACTTTTCTTGAAACTGAATCCTCCATTTGAGGAACTTGTTGAGCTTCTCTTTGTCTGAGAATATCTCCTTGTTCTGAAACTCACCGTACGAGCTGTAGATCACCACGTGGCCTTGTTTGTCAACTCCGTGAGTGAACACCATCTTCTCAAACTCGCTTCCTTCGAGGTCTTCTCCGACGAGTTCGTCGATGTTGTTGTCTTTACGCCATTGGACGGTGTTCTTCAGCATCGTGAAGGCTTCTTTGACCTTGAAATCGCGTGCGCGGAGGAACTTGAGGAGGATAACGTCGGATCTTTCGTCTTCGAGAAGTGGAATTCCCCAGACTGAGACTTCTTCTGGCTCGATGGACGCAGCTGTCTCTGGGAGAGTGATGGAGACGATCGATTCTTCGATTGCTTCGACGGTTTTGGTTCCGTCTTCTTGATCGGCTGCGAAAGCCTTCTCGATTGTTACTACGGCTTCTTTCTCTTCTTCCTTCTTCGTCTCGGTGGTGACCGGAGCAGCCGGTTTGGTCTCTACGGGAGCAGAGGTGGTTGCTTTCTCTTCTTCCTTCTTGGTCTCTTGAGCTGCCGGTTTAGTCTCTACCGGAGCCGGTTTCTCTTCCTTCTTGGTCTCTGTGGTGACCGGGGCAGCTGATTTGGTCTCTACCGGAGTAGGAGCGGCGGGATTCTCTTCCTTCTTTGCCTCTGTGACAACCGGAGCAGCCGGTTTTGTCTCTACCGGAGTTGGAGCGACCGATTTCTCTTCCCTCTTGGTTTCTTCGGCGGAAGAAGCAGCCGGTTTTGTCTCTACCGGAGCAGGAGCGGCGGATTTCTCCTCCTTCTTGGTCTCTAAGACGGCTGGAGCAGCAGATTTCTCCTCCGGTTTGGTTTCAGCAACAGCAAATTTTTCCTCTGTTTTTACTTCCTCTGTTTTCTCTTCCTTCTTTTCCTCTGTTTCCTTCTCCTCAACTTTCTCTTCCTTAGCCGGAGAAGGCGGTGGCGCGGTGAATTCACGCTTGTTCAGAGCCTCCCTCACCATCTCCTTAAACTCCGCCAAAGCATTCTTCTCAGCTTCAGGCAATTCTGAAGCCAAATAGCCTTCCTCCTTAAACGATTCCGTTTGCAAGATCTCCTTCCCCGTCGCGATCTCTTCCACCTTCTCCGTCGTCACCTCCGGTTCCGGCACCGGAACCGGCCCATCTTTCTCAGCCACAACCTTCTCCTCCGTGGCTTCCGGAGCAGGCGCTGTCACCGATTTCTCAGCAGAAACCGGTGCAGAAACCTCCTTAACGGGCGCCGTAGTTTCCTCCTTAGAAGGAACAGGGGAAGTGGTGGTTGAAGCAGCAGGTTTCTGTATCTCTTCTTGAGCCATAACTGATTCGAATTTCTCGATGATCAGAGAAATTAAAAAGAGAGAGAGAAAAGGATGGGAATTTGGGAGAGAAGAGAGAGGAGAAGCAGAGGTTTTTATAAAAAGGAAGAGAGAAAATGGAGGAGATGTTCTATGAGAGCTAAAGAGAAACAGACTGTTTCAGAGCTGTTCGACAGCTAATTTTTCGATACTTTTCTTAGTGGGGGTCCTATTTTTTTTCTTGCTCCAAACGGCCGTCTTTTGCTTCTCCAAAAACATCACACATCCCAATTTTAAACATATAAACTCCTAAATTAACAACTTTTTTTTTTTTGGAATAGTAGTTAAATCAGATTCCCTCTTAAATTTAGATTCGTTACACTTATTCTCTTAATCGATTTTTTCTGTTTTTGGAGGATATTTGCTCAGGTTCTTGATTCTGTATCTTACACTTGCATAAATGTTTTCTTTCATGTTCTGTTTATGTAAAGTTTAATTCCCGCGAATTTCAAAACGTTATTTATGTTGCATATTATTATATAAGACACATAATATATCAAGAGAGTTATGTTTTCATTGTACATAAATAAAGCTTCTAGATTAAAGGACAAAGAACGATGATTATATGTGTGGTTTTGTTTGGAGGAAAAAACTGGAATCTGATAAAATATTTGTGTGTTAGAAAAGCTAATCGGGTTCTCAATAAATTAGTTAATGACTTAAAGGTAGTTTTGCCAAATCATGACACCATGTTATCATCACCATAGCGAGTGTGTATTGGATACAGAATTTTAGAAAATTTTGTGGTTATTTTAAAATCACATATTATTCAACTACTGATTTGTAAATGTTTTATAAAATTTTATGTTATTGAACATGAAAAACTAATTAAAATTATTTGAAATCTCATGTTATTCAATTAAGAATTTGTAAAAACTGAATCAAATTCACTGTTATTAAAAATATTTTAAGTAGTAGATTTAATAGGGTTTTGAGTAGTTTTAAGTGGTTTTGGTGGAGTTTATTAGTTAAAAATCTTAAAAACCAATTAGGTGGGATTTCATAGACTTTTAATAACAAATCATAACAAATTCTTTAATTCATCTAAAATCATCTAAAAACTCATTAAAAATCAACTCATTCTAAATTTTATCAAATTTTAGTTTCAATACACCCATATGTGTTGATATATATATTACGTGTGGTACTTAAGATATTTACAATAACCAATCATGATTGAAAGAAGTATAAGGACATAGCCTGGAATTAGTATTAAGATTGCAAGATACTAGTATAAAATAAAACGAGAAATAGTCAGCCTATGTTGTCACTTGTCAGTTGTCGAACATATATTTAAGATAAGTTTTTGTTGTAACGTTTGATAAAGACGTTAAAACAAGATACATTGTCATCCGTAACTCATAATACGACATTTCGTTTTACCCGTTCTAGCTCGTGTAAACAATGTTTACCAACATATATATAAAAAAATAATCAAGTTGAATACCAAAAAAAGGTTTAACTAAGAGTTCTTTCTTACACATTCCAGTTAGTAAGACAGTATAAGAGTTTAATTGAAATTATAGGTATCCATGCAAGAGTATAAATAAAATGGACACAACTATTCTAAGGGTGGCCAATCTGAAAGACTGAAACCAACTTTTTGTCCGTTATTTCAAATTGTTCATGTCTCTATAGACTATAGTAAAAGTAGCAGAATGTCTTTCGCAAGTTGTGAGCAACGGTAACGCTTTCTAGCAACCTTGTATATATATATAGTTATGATTTGAATCATCAAATAAAATTGTTATAATTTTATCAAAATAAAACTACCCAAGAAGTACATGGCAACGACTAATTGGAACATAAAATATTTTTTTGATTTTTTTTTGTTTTTTTACTAATTAATATTCATTTTGCTGCCAAACAAAACAAATACGCCTTCATTTATAAAAACAATTGAAAAAAAAGCTATGAACTGAGAGGATGACACACATATAAACATCTACAGACTGCCTCGCACGTAAAGAAAGTGTCTAATGATTTTGTATTCATAATATAAAAACTGGACCTATCTTTTGGTGCGTTGTAACCTTAGAAATAAAAATTAATTTATCTGTGGAATTAATTATTAGTTTAAAAATTGATATTATTACTAACAGGAAATTCCAAGAGATTAGAGCTGTCACGAGAAGTAATTAGGATTACAGTTTTAAAATTTAATACGCGGACTGCTTCATGTAGGCCTACCACACACCTCAGTGTTACAAATCTTCATATGGGCAAAGCATTTCATAAGCGCGCAATTAACTGAAATGAATATTCTTAAATGAATTTTTATATTCCAAATGGCAACATCGAAACTCATTTTTTTTTTTTTATCGTCTAACTTTCATTAAAACACAAGGATAAAATACATTGGTGGGATACAATGGTAAGATACATAGATCTTACACAAACTGGTATGGATTGAAAAACGAAACCAACCCTTCCAGGAACAACAAAACTAACATAAACATCCAAACTCATTAAATATACATCTTTTGGTTTAACAAAATAAAAACACACTACCTACCATCCAACCTCTAAATTTCGAGCTGTTCGCATCCGCTGTTACTAACGTAAACTCCATACTAGCATTGTCACCAAATCATTATGTATGATCGAATACTCTAAGCTTTTATTTATCTATTGGAGAAATTTCATGCTAGAATTCAAATTAATCTTTAGGATCTATGGAAATCCGGATTTGTCTACCATTTATTTAAGAAGTTTAGAAGTAGCTAACCATGATTAAATTCACATTAAAAAAGTTCAAACCTTAATGTGCAACTAACAGAATGAACCTTCAACCACTAGATCACCATTCGTTGAATTTTCAAATAGAGAAACTAATATTTCTTAAACTAAAGATTTGATATTGAGTAAATTAATATTACTAAGAGGGTGTATTGAAACTGAAATTTTAGAAGATTTTGTGGTTATTTAAAAATTCTATGTTATTCAACTAATGATTTCTTAATATCTTACCAAAATCCATGTTATTGAACATGAAATTTATATAAAACCAATTAAAATCACTTCAACATTTATGTTATTTAATCAATAATTTGTAAAAACTAAATCAAATATACTGTTATTAGAAATATATAAAATAGTGAACTTTATAAAATATTGAATACTTTTAAATGATTTGGTGGAGAGTTTGTTAGTTAAAAATATAGAAAACCAAATCTCATTGTTTTAAGTGGGATTTCTTTATATACTTTTTATATCATTTTATATCAAATTTTCTATTCCACATAAAATCATCTAAAATTTCATTAAAACTCAAATCTTTTCAAATTCTCTAAAATTTTAGTTTCAATACATCTAGAAAGGAGTCGACAATAGAAATGGCTAATGTATAAGTTCTAAAAATCTAGTTATTCTTTAATTTCTCTCAGTTTTTTTTTTCTTACAACCTGAGGTGATACTGACATTGGATTTGGGTCCAGGACTAAAATACGTTATGTCCACATTCTATTTAAATCGTACGATTATTTTTAAGTGTGAGTCAGTTCAATACTTCAACTTGCTTTGCAAAACCTAAACAATACAACCGGTAACACAAACGGTCTCAACCCTAATACGAAACGCGTATAATTTCTATTTATAATGGAGATGAAAGAAAGAATAATTTTACGTTTTGACTTGTCCCATATCTAACTACCACTAAACAATATACGCACACACGCAACTCTTTGTAAGCTAAATATAACAGTAGGTACAATTACATTCCAAAATAATTCTTTTTGCCGATACGGTTCGAATAAAGACTTTGAATCCACTTGTTTGGAATTTATATGTGAGTCGATATCGATACATAACCAAAAACTATTAAATTAATAAGTTAGGTAAGTACAATCGCGCGGGATCCAAGAATTATCCGTTAATTATCAATTCATAGATAGCTTTTAATTTGTCAAAAGCAAAAGAAAGCTGTTTGGTTGGTTTGTCATTAGCTGTGCTTATTTCTTTTGATTTTCCAATTAGAATTTAGACATGTCTTAATATAGTCCTAGCGAATGATTGATGGCCAGGTACAACTTAAGCATTGATTATCAGTTACGTGGGATTTTCTCATTAATTAAAAAGTACTTATAATACTTGATTGTTTCGTCTTTCCACTCTTGACCTATTCAATTAAACACAAAGTACTGGATTTATAAATAAAATTCACAAAAGAGAAGATAATTGCAAAAGTAGCATGCACATTTTTTTCTATTGTACTGAGGATGCTACTATTTTGTGTGTTGTAAAATAGCGTAATGAAAAGCAATATTTTAAACAAAAAATGATTTTCATATCCATGAAAGTTTCTTTTATTCGACTGCAACTACGCATGACATGTACACTAGCTATTCAATATATTGACGTTCTTTGAATTTGAAGAAACATTAAATTTTACTAAGAAACGTTTGTAAGAGACTTCCAAACTTCCAAGATTATTAGTATATAATATAAAAGGGTAAGATGAAATGCATTGTTCACAAAAGAAAAATTACATAATAACTTATATATAGATAATTCTGCCTACAGTACAGTTTATCTGGCAACACTGTCATTGAAAATATCTCACTTCTCAAGGCTTGATTAAGTTTGATCATTATCCTGTAGATGAGGAGGAACACACCGTCAAAGGTTACAATGTTATAATTTGTTCAAATTCATAAATAAATTAGTAAAAACTCATAAAATTTATATATAAATTAATGACAAATCTCAAAATAATATTTAAAATTGTATTACCGGTTTTTTATGGTTCAAATTTTTTCTCAAGTGAGGATCAGTAGATTGGTTGTCTCTTTCATATGTTGGATCATATATTTTATATGGTGACCTGAAAAACAAATATGTATTAGTTAAACTCGTTAGAATTTAATTTCCGTAATAACCAATGATTAGTTCATGATCTTAAATCAAAAGTATACACTTATATAATTTTAGAAAGTTGTCAACAAAAACCATAAATTATGAATGCGGCATGCTAAATACTGTATAATATTAGATAGCGGATCAACACTAATAGCATGTTATGTTACATCATCATTCAAGTAGCTGCACTCTAAATTACCAATCTCTCTCGTTACTTACATCATTAACATGCATGTCATCAGAATGAGATACCTTAAATCTTCTCAAATGAGGAATAGTATGTAAACCGATGACTCTGTAGTTTGGATAAATAAAAACAACAAAAGTATTTTATGATCATAAGCATTATGTTTCCATTACTAATGAATAACTAATAAATCTGAGTGTATTGCACATATATAAAAATAATATTAAAAAAAGGAAATACGTAAACAACAATAGATAAAATAGATGAAAAGACCTTTGACGAAGATTAGCTGCAACTGATTCATCATGTTACTAAGGGTAGATTGGAAGTATACAAATTCATCATTTTATGGATCATTTTAGAAAAAAAAATCATGTTTCGTAATAAATTTACCAAATGTATCATTTCAAATAAAATAATTTTGTTTCGAAATAAAATTAGTTATAAATTAATTATATATTAATATTCTTTTAACATAATTATTGTAAACTGAACCGTTTTGTTAGAAAATAATGTAAATATATAAACTATTTTTTAGAAAAATAACAATATAATTTATTGAAACTTTTAATAAACAAAATACACAATTTAAAGAAAAAACTTTATGATGTACAATATTTTTTTGGCAAAATTCTAAAAAGGGATTTAAAACTAAATATTTTAAATCAATGATAACAAAATAACTTGTCTCTATTTCTTTTTTAAATATGTTAAAATTTTATTTCTTTGACGCAATTTTTGAAAATGGAGTATTTTTATCTATTTGTTTTAAAGTTAGACAAAGTAAATCTGCGGCTCACTCTAGGCCCAAACCCAATGCGGTATTACATTTGAAAAACAAAAAAAAAAACCATTGCAATTTGCATTAGAGAAGAAGACGAAACAGAACAAAAAAATGTTTTAGCTAAAACCACCAAACAATCTTTCTTTTCACTTCACACAGCCACACAGGTTTTACCGTTTTAGCGCAAAAACAAAAATGGCCGATTGATTCGAAGACTTTTTTAGATATTTTTCTTTAGTTTTCTTCCTCTCGATCGGAGACACCAATAACCGGAATGGCGATCGCCGGCGCTGATGATGAAGCCGGAACTCCGCTTCTTGCTGAAACCGTTGACGGATCCGTCGACTACAGAAGCAAACCCGCCGTCAGGGCTTCCTCCGGAGGTTGGAGATCCGCCGGATTCATTATCGGTATTCCCTGAGATTTTCCTTCATTGTAGCTGATTTTTCTGGCCAGTTTCGTACTTCATTCTCCCTCTGACGTCGCCGGCTTTTTTGATTGCTGATTTGCTTCTCGACGGAAGGCGTGGAGGTTGCTGAGCGGTTCGCTTACTACGGTATTTCGTCGAATCTGATAACGTATTTGACGGGACCACTGGGGCAGTCGACGGCGGCTGCCGCGGCTAACGTCAATGCCTGGTCTGGAACGGCGTCGTTGCTTCCGCTCCTTGGTGCTTTCGTAGCAGACTCTTTTCTAGGTCGTTTCCGTACAATCCTCGCCGCCTCTGCTCTCTATGTACTGGTACGAAGCTCTCTCTAACTCTTCTTCTGTTTGCTTCGCCTAAGTACTACTTCCACGAAATTCGATTCTGGTCAAAAGGAAGTTCCTCTTCTCTGTACAGATTTGCTTATTGCTCATGAGTCATAAACCAAAACATAGGCTTTTGATCTTGATAATTCAAAAAGTGGAGTGTATTGGTGAAGTTTCAAAACTCTGATATATATAGTGATTTTGATGAACAACAGGGGCTTGCTTTACTGACTTTGTCTGCCATGATTCCTTCAGACTGCAACGTTACCAATCTGCTCACGTCATGCTCTCCTCGGTTTCAAGTGATTACATTCTTCAGTGCCCTGTATCTAGTGGGGCTAGCCCAAGGTGGGCACAAACCGTGTGTTCAGGCTTTTGGTGCGGATCAGTTTGATGAAAAGGACCCTGAAGAGTGCGAAGCAAAGGGTTCTTTTTTCAATTGGTGGTACTTTGGCATGTGCTTTGGGACCTTAGTCACTCTATGGGTCTTGAATTACGTCCAAGACAATCTCAGCTGGGCTCTAGGCTTTGGTATTCCATGCATTGCTATGGTAGTTGCTTTGGTTGTTTTCTTGCTCGGTACCACCACTTACCGCTTTAGCGTTCGGAGAGAAGATCGAAGCCCTTTTGCGAGGATCGGAAACGTTTACGTCGCAGCTGCGAAGAACTGGAGTGTATCAGCTTCAGCTGTGGCTGATGCAGAAGAGAGACTTGGTCTAATGTCTGACAAAAGCTCACAGCAATTCAGGTAAGAAAGCTTCTTATCTCTTTTGATTTCGGTATTGTTTACAATTTACAGTAGCATCTTGGTTCTTGTGACAACTGCAGTTTTCTCAACAAAGCTCTGGTGGCAAAGAATGGTTCTTGTAGTAGAGATGAACTTGAAGAAGCAAAATCAGTGCTTAGGCTAGCTCCGATTTGGTTAACTTGCTTGGTTTATGCGGTTGTGTTTGCGCAGTCTCCAACGTTCTTCACCAAACAAGGAGCCACAATGGAGAGATCAATCACACCGAGTTACAAGATCTCTCCGGCCACCCTCCAGTCATTCATCAGCCTCTCTATAGTCATCTTCATCCCCATGTACGACCGCGTACTCATCCCAATCGCAAGATCTTTCACACATAAACCAGGCGGAATCACGATGCTTCAGAGAATCGGCACAGGCATATTCCTCTCTTTCCTAGCTATGGTAATCGCCGCTCTGGTGGAGACGAAGAGGCTTAAAACCGCTGCGGATCACGGTCTCGTCGATTCGCCAGACGCTACGGTTCCGATGAGTGTGTGGTGGTTGGTTCCTCAGTATGTTCTCTACGGTATCTCGGATGTTTTTGCGATGGTGGGTCTTCAAGAGTTCTTCTACGACCAGGTCCCGAGCGAGCTGAGGAGCGTTGGATTGGCTCTGTACTTGAGCATATTCGGCATTGGTAGCTTTCTCAGCAGTTTTATGATATCAGTCATTGAGAAAGCCACGAGCCAATCTGGTCAAGTGAGTTGGTTTGCGAACAACCTGAACCAGGCTCATCTGGATTATTTTTACTGGTTACTTGCTTGTTTCAGCTTCATTGGCTTAGCCTTCTACTTGTATTTTGCAAAGTCCTATGTCTCTAAAAGGCTCAACACCCTTTAAACCCTTTATCTCTGGTGTAAATGTCGCAGGTACTCTCTCTTTCTCTCTCTCTCTCTCTGTAATTTTTATATACACTTTCTTCACACCAATAAATACTACCCCCACATGTCGAGTGATGATCAGGTTTAGTCATATAGGTTACCTTTTAGTTAATAGATCATTTACTCATATAGCTCTCTCTGTAATGCACGTTTTGGCCACATGCATATGTATAGTTTTCTATGTTCGGTAATAAAGTCTTTTCATGATCCAGGGTGTGTTCCGACTTCCGAGCTAACTTTCAGAATTTTCAGCTTAATACAAAATTGCACGTGTAAAAAAAAAAAAAAAAAATAGTTGATATTTCCAATCACGTTATGAACACGTCATAATATGATACCAGAGCCAATAATACAAAATGACTTTTCTTTTATATATATTCTTAGACTTGATCTACCCGGCGATACACATACAGCCTGGAGAAGAACAAAAACGCAAAGAACCCAATGGCGGTGAAAGCGGCGAGCAGCCAGTAAAAGTAATCGACATGGGCACGGTTCAGGTTAGTGTTGAACCAGCTATCGCCGCCATCTTTTCCGGTAGCCCAATTAATCACCGTGATCAGAAAACCACTCAAGAAGCTCGAGAGACCCATCGCACTCAAAGAAAGCGCCAGACCGATGCTCCTCAGCTCGGTCGGGACCTGGTCGTAGAAGAACTCTTGTGTCCCCACCAGTGAGAACACATCGATCATCCCGAGTAGCAAATACAGTGGAACGAACCACCATATCGACATCGGAACAGTCGCATCCGGTGTATCCACAAGCCCGTGTTCCTTAGCTATCTGCAGCCGTTTGGCTTCTACCATTGCCGCGAGGACCATGTTGAAGCTCGAGAGCACCATCCCAACTCCTATTCTCTGTAGCATTGTGATCCCAAAAGGCTTCTTGGTGATCGTTCTAGCCAACGGAAGGAAAACACGCTCATAAGTCGGGACTGAGATGAGAATCGATACGCCGATAAGCGACTGGAAAGAAGCCGGAGGGATTTCCAAACCGGGGAAGATTTTCCGGTCTACCGTAACGCCTTGCTTCGTGAAGAAAGTAGCGTATTGAGCGTACGGGATCGTGCTTATTACCGACGTGACCCATATCGGAATAAGCCGTACCAAAGCCATCGCATCTTCCACGTCCCTACTATTACATGGCTCCGCACCTCCTTCTCCTGATAGCATCGCTTTTGCTAGGAACCTTTACTCAAAATTACACTCAAGTTAAATCAAAAACACTAAACCAACAACATTAAATTATATTAAAAATTTAGGGAGTTATGCAACTTACTCAAGCCAGCCTTTACGTTTCTGAGACGAACCATCCTCCAGTTGACCTTGGACCAAACCCGAACGTTCTAAACTCAGTTTCCGGTTCTTGTACGCCGCAACGAAAACTCTACCGATTCTCGCAAAAGCGTTCTTCTTCTTGCTGTCTCCTTTCGGGTATCTATAAGTTTTTCTTCCGAGCAAGAAGATAGCAAGAGCCATAACCATGAACAAACAAGGGATCCCAAACCCAAGCGCCCAATTAACATTGTCCTGAACGTAAACCACCACAACAAACGATAAAGTGATTCCGGCAGATAAACTCAAGAACCACCAGTTGAAGAACGATCCTCTCGATATTCTCTCCTTTGGATCTTCCGAGTCGAATTGGTCCGCACCAAACGCTTGAACACACGGCTTGTGCCCGCCTTGTCCGATCGCAACCAAATACAAAGAGCAGAAGAATAATATATTCAGCCAAAATGACGGTATAGCAGAAACATCGTTACGTTGGGCAGTTAATCCCATCAGGATCAAGAAAGCCGACAAAGTCAACAGTCCTAGTCCCTGTAATAATAAAAAAACTAGGTTGATCTTATCTTTGTTATTGGTTCAAGAATTATTAATATAGAAATATACATTGGATTTTGAAATAACAAAGTCATCTTACTTTGTATTTTCAACTTGAAAACACTTCCAAAACTGTAAAAATCCAATACTAAAACAAATTCAATGAATAATAACACATGAACTTGTGAGTAGACTTTATTTCAACAAAAAAAAAATGAACTTGAAAACATTTTGTTTGGATTTCCAAACTAATAAGTAGGAACTTTTCTGAAATCTGATTAGAAAAACTGAAAGTGGAGAGAGAACTTACGAGTATATAGATAAGGGAAGCTACAACAATGGTGCGGTAACGACCGAGATAAGCGTCTGCTACAAAAGCTCCTAAAACAGGAAGCATCGAGGCGGTTCCAGACCACGTGTTCACGTTCACGGCGGCGGTCGCCGTCGATTGTCCGAGAGGTCCGGTGAGGTAAGTAATTAAGTTGGATGCAATCCCAAAGTAAGCGAATCTCTCTCCTACCTCCACAGCTGAAAAATTTTCAAGAAACAAAAAGAAACTCGTAAATTTAGGAAGTTCAAAGCTCAAATACATCACGATTCGATCTTTTTTTTAATGTCTTTCTTCACCTATGATGTACCAGGACGATCTCCATCCGCCGGTGGAAGATTTTCCGGCGGGAAATCCACGGTGGTTGACGGAGTCGCGTACAGAATCTTCTAGAAGGGCGACTTCTTCTTCTGGTATCGTCATTACTCGTCGCGGCTGAAATTAGAAATCTTTTAGAAAGACGATGAGGAAAACTGGATTTTCGTTTTAAGCTGCGCAACGACTGAACGCGATTTAATCAATTATGATATTTTTCGATTTATTTATACAATACATGCTTTCACCTAATTGTCAAAGAACTTGTGGTATCTACCAAAAAAATCATGATTATGCAATTTTTTATGGACATATGTTTTACAAGCTTACTTTAATCCTCTATAATAATTTTATCTATCTTAACCAAGTACAATATGCGGTTTTTTTTTTTATCAAAAAACAATATGCGGTTTTATGTTTATATCGGTTTCTTTTGTTTGTTTGTCATTTTATATTGTCAATTAAAAGTAAACTAATATTGAACTAAGATCAAGATCCATGCATATGCTTACACAATCTGATTTTTTATTGAAAATAGATGGAGGGGGGGGGGTTGTATTTTACGAACTTTTTGTGTTATTGATTTCAGTTAATGATTTTATAATATTTTCTTTTTCTGTCATCATATCATAATTTCAATTAAATTCTTTTTGAAATCATTTTTCATAATAAATTGATGGAAATTACAATTCCTGATGTGATGACAGAATGCAAAGTTCTATATGGATAAATTAAGAACTTCATATGAAATATATATGAAAAAACTAAAATAACACAAAGGAAGTAAAAATTTTGTATGGCAATCAGTGTATTCAAGATTTCAATTATTTGTTTTTTTTTGGTAAAAGATTCAATTATTTGTTGCCCTCGTTTATTGTTTAGCTGTCATGCGGTCCTTTCTACTTTTAAGGTAATATATTTTCCACGTGCATGACTAGTGACAACAAATATAAATTTTACGTGAAAACCAAAATATCGATGTGGGAGTGAGTGGACGAACATGATTGGTTAACATAGTCTCAAATGTTTTTAAAGGTGTTTGAAAAAGACAACGAATACTCGTCCATTTGCAGAATCAAAACTATTATGCCTTATTTATGCTATAAAAGGTTAATATATACTTTGTTAGCTTTGTCATTGCTTTTGCCCCAAAGCACAAAAAATGATTTATGAATTTTTTTTATTCTTGTCTTTCATATGTGTAAGAAAACCGAACAATCACGAAAGCTTGCATGCGTAAATTAAGATGGCATTCATATTGTGCATACCGCTGTTTGATCCGTGTTTTGTGATCCGTTTGTTATACATAATTCGTATGTTCGTAAAAAGTTTCCTACAAAATTTGATTTAGTAGGTGTTTTTGATATATAAATTAAGATAAAAAAGGTGTTTTTTTGTAGTAGCTGAACGTGTAACGTGTACTACTGCATGCCCTTTATTCTCAACTACTTCTTCCCGATACTAAAGAAATTTAAAGGGCCGATAAGTGGGCCCATTTCGTGAAATTGACTATTTCACTCGGCTTTTAAATACATGGCATGTAGGCATGTAACCATGTACATGCTCTTTTTTTTGTATTAGCATCAATGTCTGGATCAAGTCCGACAAATCCTGAGATGAACAAACTCCTTCGTCATACAAGCGCATTATGTTAAAGAACTTAGGCTGAAGCCGGATACATGAAGTGACCTACACGCTAACACGCATCTCAGTTGTTCTTAAAAGAAACTGAATCCAAAGTCTTAAGCAAATATACTCCTTGAGTCCACATCTTCAACGCTTGCGCTACCACAAGCGGGTTTGGCATTTACATGTTCTTTCCGCCAAGATCCAAAGTTGGTCCAAGCTTTCTCCAAGTGGAGTAATGATTGCGTTTTCAAATTTGTCGTTATTTTGGTAATCCTCCATTTCGAAATCAACATTTCCTTACGGGTTAGGAGTATTTCGCAACTCTTTCAAGGAGGATAAGACTTGTTGGCAAAAGACACAAGTCGGACAAACACACAAATAAAGATGGTTTTTTGATATTCTGCAATATTTTAAAACCAATGGACCACTGGGAGTTATGATCCACGCAATAAAAGCTATCCAATCCCAAACCCATGTCATGATATATACGTTTTTGTAAGCATCTCAACGTCATATTTAACTTGCCAATTTTATTATCTCTTTTTCAACAAAAACCGAGATAAGCTTGCGTCGATTTCACCATTAAAATCATTGAAAAACTTTGCTCTCTAGTGGTACACTTTTCCAACGGAGCATATGTTTCTCAAAGCTACTTCTGTTTCTAAATGTTCTCTTCCTTGTCTTACTACATTAATAGTCTGTCCTCTCTCTTGTGTTACATTTCATAGGTTTGCTAATTGCTACAAACAGTTTTGTGTAAGGTGGGGCTTATATATATTTTTTTTTGAGAAATAAATATATCCAATCACTAACAAAAAAAAGAAAAAAGAAAACCAAAGTGCGAGTTGTTTACACACAAAGAAAAAACCAAAGACAAAATCAAGTTATAAACATGTTAACTTACAAGTTAGAACCACAAATATGATATGGAAGTCAACAAAACTTGTCTTGTGAGTTAATTCTTAGACCTGGTCTACCTGACGATACACATACAACTTGGAGATGAACAAGAACGCAATGAAAGCAACGGCGGTGAAAGCGGCGAGCAGCCAGTAAAAGTAATCGACATGGGCTCGGTTCAAGTTAGTGTTAAACCAGCTGTTGTCCGCACCGTCTCTTCCTGTAGCCCAATCAATCACAGTGATGAGCAAACCGCTCAAGAAGCTCGAAAGACCCATCGCACTCAAAGAAAGCGCGAGACCAATGCTTCTTAGCTCCGTTGGGACCTGATCGTAGAAGAACTCTTGTGTACCCACCAGTGAGAACACGTCGATCATACCGAGTAGCAAATACTGTGGAACGAACCACCATATCGACATTGGAACAGTCACGTCCGGTCTATCCACAAGCCCATGTTCCCGAGCTATCTGCAGCCGTTTCGCTTCTACCAATGCCGCGAGCACCATATTGAAGCTCGAGAGCACCATCCCAACTCCTATTCTCTGTAGCATTGTGATCCCAAAAGGCTTCTTGGTGATCATTCTAGCTAAAGGTAGAAACACGTGCTCATAGATCGGGACCGATATGAGAATCGATACACCGATGAACGACAGTAAAGAAGCCGGAGGGATTTCCAAGCCCGGCAATATTTGTCTGTCCACCGTAACGCCTTGCTTAGTGAAGAAAGTAATGTATTGAGCGTACGGAATCGTACTCACCACCGATGTGATCCATATCGGAACAAGCCTTACCAAAGCCTTTGCGTCTTCCACGTCTCTACCACTACATGGCACTGCCTCTTCTTCTTCTTCTTCTCTTGCAATCATCGCTTTTGCTAGGAAACTTGTCACACAAGGTAAATAAATTCACACTCAAATTAAAGTAAACACAAAAACTCAAAATGATTTTCAACACCTTTGGAATTATACATGCAACTTACTCTAACCGACCGTTACGTTTCTCCGACGAACCATCCTCCAATAGACCTTGACCCAAACCGGAATGTTCTAAACTCTGTTTCCGGTTCTTGAACGCCGCGACGAAAACTTTCCCGATCCTAGCAAAAGCGTTGTTATTCTCCTCGCGGTTTCCTTTTGGATATCTATAATTTTTTCTTCCGAACAAGAAGATAGCAAGAGCCATAACCATGAACAAACAAGGGATCCCAAACCCAAACGCCCAATTAACATTATCTTGCACGTACGCGACCACAATAATCGATAAACTGATTCCGGCAGATAAACTCAAGAACCACCAATTGAAAAACGACCCTCTAGATATCACTTCCTTTGGATCTCCCGAGTCAAATTGGTCCGCACCAAACGCTTGAACACAAGGCTTGTGTCCGCCTTGTCCGATCGCAACCAAATACAGAGAGCAGAAGAATAATATATTCACCCAAAAAGACGGTTTAGCAGAAGCATCGATACGTTGCTCAGAATCAGATAATCCCATTAGAATTAAAGAAGCCGATAATGTCAATAGTCCTAGTCCCTGTAATAATAATCTCCCCAAAATTCAGCTCAATCCCGGTTTAAGCCGGTTTACTCAATCTTGATTTTCGAGAGGAGGAGAGGTACTAACCAGTATGTAGATGAGGGAAGCTACAAGAATTGTACGGTAACGACCAAGATGAGCGTCTGCTACGAAAGCTCCTAAAATAGGAAGCATCGAGGCGGTTCCCGACCATGTGTTCACGTTCACGGCGGCGGTCGCCGTCGATTGACCGAGAGGTCCGGTGAGGTAAGTAATCAAATTGCAAGCAATCCCAAAGTAAGCGAACCTCTCTGCCACTTCCACGCCTGACAAGATTGTCAAGTAAAATCAAGATTTTTAAGGAGCTCATTTACGGAAGAAAGCCAAAACAAGTCGATTCGATTCGTCACCTATGATGAACCAGGCGGATCTCCATCCGCCGGTGGAAGATTTTCCGGCGGGAAATCCACGGTGGTTGACGGAATCGCTAACGTGATCTTCTAAAAGTGCAACTTCTGCCTCGGGTTTCTTCATATCTCGCCAATTTGAGACTTAGAGGGGTTTTACTGGATGTTTAAGCTGAAGAAATCAATTTGTCATGCGCAACTAATGAACACGAGTTAACTAATTTATGATATTTTCTTCGTCAATTTATTGGATAGGAATTGATGAGGGGATACGGTTACAGTCATACCAGTATACTACCATCTAATTATCATTATTTTATTATTACGCACACGAATGTTACACGAGCTATTTGTATTTTAGTTGTTTGTTTATAACCAACATATTTTTGTTCAGTCAAAAACTCAACTACTATGGGTTTTATCTGATCACGTCTTTTTATTAAAATCAAGAACCATATACATCATACAATCTATGTTTTTGTGTAAAATTAATGATAAACACTTTATTTTACTATTCTCTTTTATTTTTTGTAAGGTTACTCATATTTTACTAGATATCATCATGCTATTGATTCTTATATTTACGGCAAGACTCTTTTTATAAGAGTTTTTCTTCAGTTATTCCACCACATGTATAAACATTTTGGATGGATGCTGAAACTATTTTTGAAGTATCTGATGCAGAAGAAGAATGCAAAACCAAGGTTGTTGAGATGGATTCTGCTTCTTTAAGAATTTGACATTGAAGTGAAAGACAAGAAACGTGTTGACTAAGGAGCTAGGAGAGTTCGGTTACTTGGAGTCAATAAAATACTGCCTGAATTTTTCAAATGCAAAGACAACAGCCAACAAAACTTACAAAAAAAAAAAATAGAGATATGAAATTTCATTTTTGATTGTAGTGAAATTATCCACAATCTACTTATTCCCTGAAAATCCTAGTTGCTTTCCCTTTCGAACGATGATGTTTCGTGAAACTATTTATTCGTCGTATTCTCTGTGTAGCTGTCACTTTTATATCTTCTTTTTATTTACAAGGTTATATATTTTCCACGTGCATCTCAAATTATAATTTCCTCGTTTAAGACCAAAAATCCGAGAACGAGTTGGGTAAATTCTTTTTGCTTTTGCTGCTATTATTATTATTTTTATTTTTTTGAACTTGCTGCTATTATTTCTTTGAGGTGTTTGATATTTAATCAGTCAAATATTTGTCAATCACAGAATTAATCTTTTATTTTTCGAAATAGTTGATTGTTATTTTGTTTTCAGGTTATAACCTTATCAGCTGTGTTATTTGCGCCAAATACGGATATGGATTTTGAGTGTTACTTTGTCTTTCATGTGTAACAAACAGATTTCAGATACATAACAATTTTTTTATTTTTTTTTACTGATAATTCTTATTAACAACAAACATATCTGCATACTGCTAAATGATGTCATATTTTGTGATTACGTTTGTTTCCATTATTTTATTTGTTGAATACATTTTTGTGATCTCAGTTTTGTTTTTCTGTTGGATAAATTTGATGTATCCTCTGACTGTGTGAGTATCAAACATTAAGACTCTTGTGGGCTATCTAGATATTAAATGGGTCGTAGTGTGGGCCTAATTTGTCTGACACTAGCCGATTGATAAACTTTTATGGGAAAATGATGAAAAAACCCCTCACCTTCGATGAAATCATATTTTAAAACGGTACTTGTCAAATAAACATTTAAAACCCCAAATGCCATTTTTATGGTAAAGTTATGGCACTCATTACATTATGATTTTTAATTAATCAACCCAGGATCGGAGCAAGTCCATCACGTTTGCTTCTGAACCAATCTAATTATACACCTCAACTCTCGATAATGTTCTGTTCGTTCGAGGTTTTTAAATCAGTATGCTGATTGTTTTTTTTTTTTTTTTTTAATAAAAAGGGCTAGTATTAGTATTTGCTGAGTGTTACTTCTATTATCACTAAGCATCAACAAATCTAGACACAGTAGTTTGAAATATCATTCTGTATAAACAAGACAAACACGTTAAAATAAAGATTTAGAAGAGAAGTTTGTATAAAGAAGAGAAGTTTCTTGCTCGTTTTTTCTTTTGCTTCCCACCAATTTTTTCCTCCTTATCGATTTTTTGTACATTTTGAAGTTTCTTTAGAGAATTTTGATCATAATTGCAAGGAAAGAGGCAATACGCGTATATACAGTGGGGAAAAACGAAAGCAGTTCATGATCATGTACGAGAATACGAGATCGATACCTGAATTTTAACAACAACAAAAAAAAAAGATCGATACTTGAATTTGTTTGTTGCCACAGTAACCACATATTGGCGGAGGGTTGTGTTACCATACATAATCATAATCGTCATATCTATTACTAATAAAAGTTGATGCTAAATACATTTAAGGATGTCCATATAGGATTTAAATATTCAATTATATTGGTACACATCATCATTGTTTTTAGTTAATTATATATTATATATTAAAATTAATTAATTCGTTTTAATTGTTATAAAGAAAAATTCTAAATTTTAAGTTAGTTATTAATAAAAAAGAGTTTTGAAAATAGATTTTATTTTTCTATTAACAATAAAAAGGTAAATTAAACATATAAATAGATTATTAAAGAAAAATTATATATATTGAGCAAAATTATTAAAAACTGTATTTAAAACCATAATTAAATTATTTTAAAATTTTAATCACGACAAACAATTAAAATCTGAACTGCTAACTTAAAATATATTAGTTGTGGTTCGTGTTGATGTCTTATGCCAATGAGAGCGTCCACATATGATGTATATACTCAATCTGATTAGTCTATATCAGCGTTTTTCACTAAACATAAAAAATAAAAAATATTATTAATAATTCAAATAAATTAAAATATACAAAAATATAAAATTATCACAATAAAATGGAAAATTAAGATAATTTTTTTTACCTAAATAAAATTAATTTATATCAAAAGTCTAAATCGATTGTGAAAATAAAATGGAAACTCATTGTCACAAAAACTAAAAAAAATATGTAAATCAATAACGAAAAATTTAAATAAATTTTTTTTAGCATATATATATATATATATTAAATGAGTAATTTATTTAAAAAAAATATTAAGATTAAATTTTCATATAAACATATAAAATTGTTATTTAAAAATATCAACACTACCAAAAAAACATTCATCTTAAATTATCAAAAAAAGAAAGTCATCTAAAACTTATAATTTTTGAGGAAATATTAAAAAAATTAACACAAAAATCTTAACAAACCAAAAATGATACTTTATGCTAATTACTGAAGAAAGCAATATAAAAAATGTTTAACTAACAAAAACTAAAACATAAATTATTTCTTACAACATGTCAATACAATTAAAATGAAAGTCCATATCGAGAAAGTTAAATTAACAAAAAAAGAGGATATTAACTTAATATCAATGTTATTTATTTAACAAACTCAATATAAACAGAATAAGTAAGAGAAAAAAAACTTAAATAATACTAAAAGACTTAACTAACAAAAATAATATAAATATTTAAGCTCATTATTTAAGAAATCAATATTAAGAAATTAATTAACTAAAAACTAAAACAAAAATTAAGTTTTACAAAATATTATTTTTTTAAAAAATACTTAAATATATATTGACTTGATATCTGACTAACTACTTAAGAAATTCATATAAAAATATTTAACTAACAAAAAATTTATGTCTTCAAAATATCAATATTTTTAAAACAATGGTGTGTTAAAATAAAATAAAAACCAATATCAAGATAGGTAAATTATCAAAGATAAAAGTCGTATAAAATAAAATTAGCTTGATATTTAGGCTAACTACCAAACAAATATTAACTACAAAAAGCAAATGATGGTATAAGCTTTTGAGAGAAGTTCACTTAAAATTTAGAATAACCAGTTATAGCATATCAAAATAGCATTTTAATTCATTTGAAAAGTAAATTTAATAAAAAAAAAAGCATTTACGTAAAAGATATTAGATTAATATATATGCTACCTATTTGAAAAATCAATAACAAAAGAGACTAATTAAAAATATATATGTTTCAAGTATATCAAACCTGCAGAAAATTAAATAATTAAAATAAAATATAAAATTATCATCAAAGATATTTAAAATAACAAAAAAAAAGATCTAAGAAGAAATTAGTTTGAAATATAGTTCCAAAAACATTCATGATTTCTAAAATATTGGTGTTGACTATGAATAACCATATAAAGTTTTAATAGGTTATACAAGTTTCTAAATCAAATATATTATTTAAATTTACAAAGGTTAATATTTTGGTTGTGTTTGGTTGGAAATTTAACAAATTAAAATACTATACAAGTAACTTTACATTTAAAATATAATAAGTAATAAAGTATGTTTTGTATACTTATTTACTGCTTATAACTTAGTCAACATGAACAACACATGAGTAACATCCTCTAAAATTTTATTTAAATAATATAATATGACAAAATTATGAATCAAATTCAAATGGAATATATGAAGATAAAATATTCGATTCAAAACATGAATAAACACACAAAAGTAAAAAAAAAACAGTGATAATGTGAAGTCTTAACATCATCTTACATGTTTAAAAACAAAAATTAGCAAATAGTTGACTGCAAATAAAACAGATCTTATAAACTAAATGGAGATATAACCTAAAATTCGTAGAAGATCTGGTAGAGAAACAAAAAGCAGCTTTACACGATTAGCATAGCTTATTAACAAAAGTAAATCTGAATCAACATATATCATGTATTATAAATGTATGTACACAACATTAGTGAGATATTTAGTAAAAAAACTAAATATTTAAACATATAAACTTTTTAAAAAAGAACCATAAAAATCCTAAGGATACAAAACAATACACCAAAAATTTAGTAAGGAAATCATTTTCTAAATCAAACATATGCGCATCGAAGTTGGATAATTCGTTAGGTGTCATTACTGTGATTTTACTTAATAAGATTTATAATTTTATAAACAAAAATATGAAATACTACATATTATGTTTTAATTTTTTTTATATTAAAGAAAATTTCTATAAATGTATTATAGTTTTGATAATTTAATAGATATTAATCCAAAAATTAAACCAAATTATTAATACAGACTTGTGCGTATTGCGAGTTAAAAGCTTAGTAATATATAAAAGTTGAAGGCATAGTGCATTGAAGGCGTCCACATGGGATTAAAAAACTCGATCTGATTGGTCCACATCAGCATATTCATTAAATAAAAAATTGTTAGGTACGAATATG